CTTCTACTAATGATGTAGTATTTATCGAAGTAGGAACTATAGTGATGGTGCAGTATTACTACTGACAAGAACATTCCTCTCTGACAGGCCTTTTTTAGGAAGCACCCTGAGTATGCAAAGAATGAATTCTACATACAGGAGAATCATATGCAGGGCATTATGTTCCTGCTCTTGCTGGACGAGTTAACCAAGGAAACAAGAATAAAGAAGGAATCCTTATAAACTTGAAGGTGTGCCTCTGAGTGCAAACTTTTTCAGCTGCATTTTACTAATTTTTGTTTGATTCTACCAATTCATTCATGGTTGAGCAGGGCTTCGCTATTGGTAATGGACTCACAAACCCACTAATCCAGTACAAGGGATTGCCTGATTATGCTTTGGAACATAAATTAATCAGTCAATCATATTACAACGGCATGCAGGAGTCCGTCACAGAGTGCGAAGAGGCAATAGAAGCTTGCGGTAATCATCAGTCCCAATTCATTGGACCTAATATCTCCAAAACACAATCCCAAGGAAAAGAGAGTAAAGAAAGAAGATAAAAAAGAAATTCCTTGGGGTCTAAGAATGATCTTCGTAAACCCCTTTTGCCATCCCGTTCTCCATCACCCCCCCCCCCACCCTTCCCTCCTAAAAAGAAAAAAAAAAAGGAAAAGATAAAAAATCTGATCATTCCTCAGTTGTTTCTATTTACTAACTGGAAGTTCAATGACAGGCACTAGTGGCACAGATTCTTGTGAGACGGCGTATGAACTGGGCAATGAAATATTCGATGATATATTGAGTAGTGCTGGAAATATAAATGTAAGAACGCAATTTCCTAAGTTTTCCAATAACAGAAGCATCAAAAAACAGGTGCACACAGATTCATTTCCTGACATGATTTCTTTTAATCTTCGAGCTGCAGTACTATGACATCCGAAAGCAGTGTGAGGGTCAACTATGCTATGATTTTTCAAATGTGGAGAATTTTCTGAACCAGGACACAGTGAGAGAAGCTCTAGGTGTTGGGCACATTGAATGGGTTTCATGTAGTTCAACCGTGTACGATGCAATGGTTGATGACTGGATGAGAAATCTTGAAGTAGATGTTCCAGCATTACTCGAAGATGGAATCAAGTTACTTGTGTATGTAGGAGAGTATGATCTAGTATGCAACTGGCTTGGTAAGATTTATCTAGTGTTCAGCTGAATTATTTAACTATCATATTGCAAGGGAGACAGTAAAGATAACTGCCAACTAACAACATTGTGTTCTAACATGGTCAGGAAACTCAAGATGGGTTCAGGCCATGGAATGGTCTGGTCAGGCAGCGTATTTAGCTGCTCCTAATACTTCATTTACAACAAATGGTGTCGAGGCAGGAGTGCGAAAAGGCTATGGTCCACTTACTTTTCTTAAGGTACTTAATGCTGGACACATGGTCCCAATGGATCAGCCACAAGCAGCACTGGAAATGTTAGAGAGCTGGATAAAAGGGAAGCTTTGACAGAGAAGGACGTTAACTGCACTTAAATTGTGATTTACCCCATACGAGCTAAAAAAATTTGTAAAGTTTATACATAATGTCTTCACTTTTTATTTTCAAAATGACATCTAAACATTACTTTAAACATTCAAAGAGATTTTGGTTGTTATCTTACAGAGATCCATCCAAAAGATGCTTAGAATTACCATTATGTGCAGCAATAACTGTTTGGAAACTGAAATACAATGTTCACCCACTAGCCTTTGTCATGCCACGTTGAATTCCAAAACAAGACAGGCATAGAGTTAAAGGGAACAGATCTATCTTCAGAATTACTGAAATCAAAACATAAAACAAACTACTGCTTGGAAACATAAATGGTGACTATAGGCATTCTGTGAGTGATGGTAATTATAAAGCCGTTCATGGATTTCTCTTCCTAAAGGAATAATCCGGCCATTAACTAATTCCTCAAATTAAAATCAAACATATGCATCAAGAGGGAAGCCCTACGGTCACTGCAATACTTGTCAGCCCCTAAAGCACTTATAACATCATTGACACTTGTCAACATACCGATGTTGCATAACATGGAAGATCAGTCGACTTGGTAATTAAGAATTTTTTTTAAAGATCGTTTAGACTGCTCTACACTAGGCCAGTAAATTTTCGCATTTTCTGGATATATCCTAAGAACCTAAACCAGTCTGCTATCCAAAGTTCAACTTCAAAGCCTTCAGGCAATTCATCAAGTCACCAACTGTACATTTTCTGATACGTGCAACTGTCAAATACTCATAATCATCCTGTGTCTCAATCCACCCAAATGGGCAAGATTGCTGAGACCCGCTTCTTGCCACTTTCAAGACTAAGCATCTCCACAGATTCAGGGAATCACTAAATTCAAAGAAAGCCAATCACATTGCCTAGAAGTGCCATTGAATTTAAAAAGATCAAGAGCAGCCGGTAGTTGCTCATTCTTTCCCTTCCTAAAAGAATTTTCCAATCAACTGATCATATTCATCAACAGACTTTGTTTTAACTTGAAACAAAAATGAAAGTTAATCCAGAAATTTCATGTAAAGAAAAGTGGCATACCGAAAGAAAAATAATTAAAAATCACTCCATGGGTGAAGCATATACAAATGGGGCAGACGTACTTAAGAACCACCTCTTACTTGATACAGTTTCCTCAAGGTCACAATTGCTGGCTGAAAACTAGACTGTAAGGGAACAACTGAGGCAACACGTAGATGCTGTGCATTTCCATTCTTTGGTTTTGACAGCATCACTCTTAACATCTCTCCCTCAAGAACCTTGCCTGCAGTTGTGGCTGCACAAAGATACCCCAGTCAACAACAAGAGTCACAAAGAGCGGCTCAATTCTTTAGAGCATCATGACATATGCGAGTATACTGTCTAGTCAGGAAGCAAGCTTCATAATTAAAAGAAATGCACATAGTTATAGTGATCAATAACCATTTTTTTTAAAAACAAAGGTAAGATGTGACACTTTATAGAAGTAACTGGTAATCTTCATAACCTGTGATTGAGAAGAATAATCTTGAAAACATTTCAATTTTCCAGATTTTGAATAGAATTCCACCGTCTAAGAAAGGTATATCTCTGTGTTTTTTCAATTTCTGGCATTGCACACATGAGCTGCAGTACAAACATCTAAGATCTTCACTAAGCAACTAAATTGCAGAAATTGTTGTGAAAATAACAAATAGGTTCCAGTTTGGCTAATCAGGAAAACAAAATTTATCATGACACCTTCGCAAAGCCAATCAAGGTTTTTAAATCATTAATTGGAATATATACAATTTGGGTTTAGGAATGACACGATGCCATGTTTCAACTAAATTCCCTCTTCTTAACATAAGTAGCAAAAAAGCTGAAAATGCCAAGTACAAGAAAAAGATGGCATAAAGCTAGTCAGAAAACGATTCATGTAAGCATAAAAGTCATGGTTCAACAAGTTACTTCCGTGTATGAGCTCAGAATACAAATTGTTAATCTTATGCATATTAATTGCACAAAATGCAAGATAAAATTTACAGTACCAGCAAAAGGGTGAATCTTGGCAAAATCAAAAAACTCATCAGCAGAGCAACCAAAAAGAACCCTCGCAGCCCTGTCAAACATTACCACCACAAATACCTTCGTATCCGTAGCTATAGACATCTGCAAAATCCAAATCATCCAAGAACCCGTATCACATTAGTCCAAAAAACTCCAGTGAAAAAGAAAGTAAAACAAAAATCCCACCTTTTTTGGTCATTTTCTCAAGTACCCATTTTTCAATTATACGAACAGAAAAAGAACAAAGCTCTGAACCAATGAATTACTTACAAGAACTTTAAAGAGGCGTTTGGAACCAGAGGAACCAGGATTAAAGGCATTCTTAAAGTTGCAGTATCTACAAATAGGCAAAGAAGCTGAAGAAGAACAAGGATTAATAGTAGCATTCTTATGGGTGGCTTCAGGGAGAGTTTTCTCACAAACAGAGCAAACTCTGTAGTAGAGATTGGTGTGATCAATGGCTACTACTGTGCAGATTAGAGTGGTTGGCTCATCAACTTCTGTAATGGGTCTTTTTCTAGGATTTGTTTGGCTAACTGGGTACTCAGAACTCATTTTATCGCAGGAGGCAGGAAAATGACTAGGAGAGTTTTTAGGTTGTTCTAAACTGAAAAGTTCCCTCCGTTTTCACCTGGGACTTGAAATAGAAGACTCGAGTGAAAATTTCCGCTTGCTCTGCCTTAGCTCCCGCTTTTATTTCTTGTTTGTCTTCTGGCGGACACGCTTTTTTCAGATTGAAACGCTTTTAGTACTTTAGTGGCTGGCTGCCTAAATTCGTGCTCCGGTCCTTTCCCATAATTCTGTCCGATTGTGTCCCAGAAAAACAAATGCAGGGTAATTTGCATTATTAGGGAGGTTACTTACATCAAACAGCTAATGATTGAGTCACACTTGAATTAAATGCTTTTTTACAAAATATAAATTTTGTACTAATAAGACAATGCATGAGCTTAAGTAGGAGTTGCTTAACACAATTAAAGCGAAAATAAAAACGCATATCTCTCAAAATATTAGATTTCTCCGCTCAAAACCCAATTAACTCTATAAATTCACATGTATCTACAATGGATTAAAAGTATGCACAATAATAATTTATACTTTGCCAGACAAAAGTTGCCCTCTTTTTTTTGCCAGACAAATTTTAGAAGTACATTAAAGCTGGTGTCCTATTAATGCTTCAGCTCAAACTTCTTAAAGTATGGAGGTGGATATTGGAGAAAAAGTATGATTGAAGGGGCAAGAAGTAGAATTTAGAGGTATTTGTCAGAGGTAATTGTAATTGTGCCAAGCCTGATGGGACCTCGGTCTGATAAGAAGGCATAACAAAACCTTTTGGGAGTTGCTATTGCATTCCCTCTGATCAGGGCAGCCGCTGATAAGTTGAAAAATAAGCAAGCAAAGCTGCAGACAGACTCAAAGTATCAGCTTAGGTATATTGGCATCTGTGTATATAAATATGTACTTTTCCTTTTAATGGTGCCATCTATTAGTTCTGGAGAAACCCGAGTGGGAACCCCGTTTATCCTTTCCTAAATTCTCCAGCAAAAACAAGAATTTCTTTGGAATCTAAATAGTGGGATGAGCGAATACTTGAACTCAGTTTTGAATTTGGCATCTATTTCTCATTGTCGGAAGAACAGTGCTGGATTCTACCAATCCTACATGAATCTTTTCTTTTTTCTTGCAACACATGTTTTTAGAACTTCAGTATCTCTATGGTGCCAGGATACTGTTTCTCTCTCTCTCTCTCTCTCTCTCTCTCTCTCTCTCTGTGGATCAAAGTATTTAGTCTTTTTCTTTTTCAGGGTTGTGCAAGTAAATAAAAGTGATTTAGAGTATTTAGTAATTTTCAAGAGTTGAAAATAATTTTAGCTTTTTTCCATTGTTTGGTTGAATGATAAAGCACTTCATCAACTCAGCTCAAACAAAGATTTCATAGTTTCAGACCTTTTTATTCTAATCGAACTTTTCTTCCTCAAAGATCATAATTTTCAATGCTGTTGGTCGTTGCTGTGAAAGACTCATGAAACCTCCAATCCCCTGCCAATAGATGTACCCATTGTTACCTCTGTGAAGACTGTGATTATGACAAAGGAATTTGGAGAAGAAATGTTGGAACTTTATGTCGGCAGTCATCTAACAGAGATGTTCAGTCCTGCAGACGTGAATATCAGTAACCAATTGGGAAACCAAACACTTTTTTTTTTTTAAGGGAAAAGGAACTTTGGTTGCTCAGGAATCTCATGGATGTAAGGCAGAAACTCAATTTGATCTGATTTTTTTTCTTCTCTATGTTTCAGCTAAGCCGCAGGTGACGGTCCATGGAGCCTGACAGGTATAGCAGTCATCATGCTTGGTTGAGTTATTACTTGTCTCTTTATTTCAACCCTCTCATGGTGACGTGTAATATCATCTGAATATGCACATTTATGGGGATTCGTGTGACTTTAATTCTTAATATTGGTAGTCAATCAGGTTCTGGTGATGTTGTCCAATGAGATTGGAGTCATATTTCCTTTTTGCTTTGCACTTCAGTTCCAAATAGTTTCAAAGAAAAGGATATTTTGCTTATCCAATTGGTTAAAGAAAAGTACTCTAAGGTGAAATAATCTAGCATTGATAAGGCACATTGTTGCCCTTTTAGGGCAATCTTCCATGCCTTGAATCATTTGCACTCAAGACAGACTAGAATGATATGAAATCTACAGGGTGCGAGGTTTTCTTATTATTTGAAGAATGACCTCAAAAATTTAAATGCCGTTTCTATTTAGCAATACTGAGTTAAGTAACTTTTTTTTTTCCATTTTAAGTAGCATGGACTACTTAAGATTTCTAAAATTGGATTGAATTTGGTGTTGCAGTTATAGAAATAAAACTTCACTGAGTGGTCCGTTCTTGTTAAGTTGCTTTGAGGTGGATTACGTACTCTGTGAGTTATATGCTCTGAAAGAGAGAAGCAATGACAGTTGAAGGAACATGACAAGGGATTACCTTTAACTGAAAATTTGTGGTTCTTGGTTTTATGTAATTATGGATTGAAAGATGCTACTTAAAGGATTATAAGTGGCAGGCAAAATCCTGACACTATATTTGGATTTCTGGTTACCACACTGCCACAGAAAGGAAATTTTAACAATAAAGCCAGGTCTCCCATAGTGTATTGAAGTATTGAACATTGTAAAACTAACAAAATGTGATAAGAGCTTTGCAATAAGCTTATATGATGAAAGGTGGCACCTATAGAACATGAAAATAAAGGAAAACTGATTTTGATGAATTTGATACCTTCAAACAAGAGAACATGCAACAGTCAGTGAACTTTGAAAAATTCACAATTTTGTCTGGTATCCTAGACTTCTCCGCTATGCTATTTCCTGCTTTTATTCTTTTGCCGTCAGAATTTATAGATCGTTCTTAGCTAGTCCTGAGCATATCTAATTGCTTGTCATCCCAAAAAAGTAAAAAGTTATGCTGTCAGCAGCTTGTGAAGTATACTCCTTTGGGTTCTGACTTCTGACTAATTGTTTTTTGTTCATGTGATTTGAACATGGAGGTTTTATTTGTGTTCTTCCTTCCATTGTATTAATCTTCAAAATAATTAGGCTTACACAATACTTACTATCTGTTATAGGCTAAATTCTCCAGATACTTCAGCAATTTTATTTGAAGTTCTTGGCCACCAACTTCAATTTTCTCAGGTAGTAGATTCTTGACACAATGTTGCAATTTTTGTTTTGTTATTCTAGATACACAAACGTGTCATTTCCTCTTATAACTTTACGTGCTTTTTGTCATTTTGAGTCTTTAAATTCAATTGAGAATTTAATCTTGATTTTTGGAACTGTATCTGATTCGGTTCTTCTTATGCAAAAATTCAATGGAATTGGAAATACTTGTTTTTCCTGAATTTATTACCACAGATAGAGGAACTTAATATTTTATTTTAAGACAGGTGCAATTGGTTGAATTATGTTTTCCTTGGTTTACTTTTGAGGATTGTATGCAGTGATTGTTTAGTGTTCAAGAGCCTATGTCAAGTTTCTGCCTTCGAGTATTAGTTTATTGTGCCTTAACTATTTTGCACCTCTTTTTGCTTTCACTATTTCAATTCTACTGCTATTTCTTTTCAAAAGCATTCATGTACTTTCCTGGATCTTGGTAGCTTAATTTTCAGATTTAGTATTGTCTGTATTGTTGTAGGATCCCAATTCCAAGCATTTAGGGACCACAGTGTGGGATGCATCAATGGTATTCGCAAAATTTCTGGTAATATTCATGTCACTTTCACTTGCTTGCTTATCTGAATAGCCAAAGTACAATGGCATTTCAATTTACAGTGTTATGTTGAGCCACAATGCTGCAGCAATGTAGTTATGAAAGCTAAAACGTTATTGATATTCTTCTGGTTTTTGTTCCATTTGACCATGATATGAGTCCACTTGTTGGTTTATTCAATTAATAAGCTGGTATTTGCAAACCTGAATGTAATAGTTAGAGATATCCAGGAGAAAAATTGTAGAAGGGGAAGGTTTTCCCCATCTAAACTGAGAGGAAAACGCGTGGTTGAACTTGGGGCAGGCTGTGGAGTTGCAGGGTTTGGTGAGTTTCTTTTGCCTGCCATTTTTCTCATTGTGTAGATTACTTTTATATCTTATCCCTTGATAGTCTGAAGTGGGTTCCCTTCTCCAGGCATGGCATTACTTGGATGTGATGTCACTTCAACTGATCAAACTGAGGTTCTACCATTGCTTATCAGAAATGTTGAACGCAATACTTCTAGTATAGTGCAGATGAATTCTGGATCAGGTACCCTCGCCTTTGGGTCTTTGGACCATTCAAGTGATCCTTCTAGTCTCTCTGTGAACTTCTGTTTATGTGCTTTCTCATTCTGATTTTAATAAAAAACAAAAGTTTAGTTGCTTAACTCTTTTCATCCCATTGTAGATCTCATAGAAATCTAGTGGTGCTTAAGTCTCTGATGTAAAAGGTACAGGTCATGCTTGGACCTAATCTGAATCAGGATTTTGCAGATTCCTTTGGCTCCATCCGGGTGGCAGAGCTGAACTGGGGTAATGAAGATCATATAAGGGCTGTTGATCCGCCATTCGACTACATCATTGGCACTGATGTTGTATGTTTCGTCCTAAATTAAGTTTATCTGATGACTGTTCTTGCTAAATTTGAGTTTTTGGAGATAACAAATTGCGTAAGAAAATAAATTTTGATGTTGTTTTTATTTTCACTTTTTCCAGTTTCTCTGGACGTCTTTCATTTTACGTCATTTCGTCTGGATGTCTTTTGTTCCTCTAGATGTCATTACTGTTCATTAGAGAGTAAATGGAGAAGAGTAACTGCAATCTTGCTTTAGTATTTCAACTGCATAATTGGAGGTTCTCTAACTTTTCATAAAGGTTTATGCGGAGCATCTCTTGGAGCCACTTTTACAAACTATCCTTGCGTTGTCTGGACCAAAAACCACAATTTTGGTATTGTTATCTTTCGTACTTTTCTTTTTCAGAAGCCAATTTGTCTTATGAGTGATGAATTCACTTGTTAGTCATGCTGCCACTTCATTTTCAGTTGGGATATGAAATTCGTTCGACAAATGTCCATGAAAGAATGATGGAAATGTGGAAGGGAAATTTTGAGGTGAAAATTGTCCCTAGAGCAAAGGTATGTCCTGTCTTTTAGGATGATTGTTTACTCGTTTTATGATCTTATCTGTTTCTTTTTGTCTGTGGTCATTGAGTATGCTGGAATTTAGTACTTGATGGGTTTCAGTTGACGTATCAGTATTAAGCTTAAGCATTAAATTTGGTCAGCAAGATCAAAATCCGGCAAGGAAGATTTCAAAATGGGTGATTTTGCAACCAGAAATAGGCTTATGAAATTTTACTGGATCATCAAAATCTGACCTTGCAATTCTTGGTTTCAGATTTCTAACTTGAAGATGACTCTTTATCATGAGCTGTTTTTCTAATTTTGTACCTAGAAATCCTTTTAAGATCATTTTTGGTAATTAAAAAAAAAGGACTAATCAGTTTGAGCGTGTGACCTTAATGCCTGAAAGAGAATACTGTCCATTCTCATATACTGACGAAGGCGTGTTTTTCTCCATTTAGATGGACAATAAGTACCAACACCCAAGTATACAACTTTACATTATGAACCTAAAGCCTTTAGAAAGAACAAAAATCACAAGAGAATGTGTTGATCAACCAATTGAAGAGGTTGAAACTGGACCAATTAAAAATGGATCAGATGAAGATTGCGACGCTAGTTGTGGAGTTGATGAGGTGACTGAGGTTGAAGTTGAAAATGCCAGTGGACGCATGGTCCCAGTTCCCGATCTCCAGGATAAAAAGCTTAGTGAATGGGAAGCAAGAAGATATGGTGCTATGGCTGCTCGGCTGCTTCGCGATATCAAAATATCCTAGAAGATATGAGGTTTGTTTCAAAAATCCAAGTTTATACAGCATGTTTCTTCCTTAGCTTTACTGTAGTCCAAAAGTTGAATTTGTTTTATTTTGTAGGCAGCACCTAAAATGGCGTGTTTTTTTTCCTTCATTAGACTGCTAAAGCAATGAAGAAAGAATGGAGCTCCAATAGATTATTGAATTGTGACACTGGACCTTGTTCCGTGCTACCATATCTGGATTACCTCCAACACAAGGCCATTAGATTTGCTTCTGCAACTGGAAAAGTTTCTGCAATTACTTGCCATTATCAATGAACAGGCCTAAGCAAATTGGATTCCTCATCCTTGTGATGATGCTTCACCATTTGTCAATCATCTGTAGGCTGCATCTACCTCAATGTTCAATATATGGTGAAAAAAGAGAGTTTGGAATGCTTACTTATTATGGCTGCTAATGCTTAATGAGTATATGATCTTATTCCTGTAAATGCTACATTTACAGTTATCAAAACTTCCTTTCGTTTAAACTTCTGTTATTTTACTTGATATGGTACGAGCGTCTGGAGGGCTGTCTGTGTTTTGGTTGATGCATCAAGATCCTCCTCCTGGCTACCCATTCAAATGTCTGACACAAGATTAATCTAGCGATAAGTCAGTCTCAGTTCAGCTTTTACTTCATATACAAACCAAAAATATGTGCATTAGTCGCTAAAGGCGTTCATTTTCAATTATGCCCCTGAAGAAGACTTCCCAAAAGCTCCCAAAGGAGATTAAATAATAGTTAATGCAGGTTTCTCTTGGTTTATTTCTCAAAGAAAAAGAAAAAGAGAGGGAATGACTTCACTAGAGTAGATGAGATTTCCTCGAGTAATTGTCAAAAGTATAGATATACAACACAATTAACAGCAGCTTTTAGTGGTACAATATCAGCTCCTGTACATTCTAGCAAATGCAAGCCAAAACAAAGGGAAAGAGTTAGAAACTGGATAGCTTTAGCTTGCTGAAGGGCTTGAGTGCTTTATTGAAGAAAGAATTAGATCTTTTATGAGCGGCATATCCTACTATGGAAAATGAATCTAGATATATTCCCACATAAGCAACCAGAGGGTCTCCTCGAGACTTGTCTATAACAAGCCTCAAGTGATAGGATTCAACTATAGAAAATTGTAGCAGCCTTCGATATCCCACAGTCGTGCCATCTATCACCGTCTGCCATTGTCCTTTCTCATTTAAAATGTCTAGATGGAACTCGATAATCCGCTGCCCCATATGAATTGGCTCTTGAATTTCTAAGACGTTGAAAGTAACATGTTCTTGAAAATCTAAATATATTACCCAGTTTGCTTGCTGCTTATCAGGAGCCCAGTAAGACAAGATACCTTTCTCAAGGATATTCTGAGGGCCAAACCTAGTACCTGCTAAACCTCCTCGGACACTGCTGGCAGAAAGAAGACCCCCTTCTGCTAGATTATTGGAAAATATGGAGCTTCGGAGCTCATTGAATTCCCGAAGGACTTGAATATCCTCATCAGATATCAGGCCTGAAGAGTTTGGGGGTACGTTTAACAACAGAAGACAGTTTCTACCAACTGATTTGTAGTACAAATCGAGAAGAGTTCTGGCAGATTTTGGAACTTCTGATGCATGCCAGAACCAACCAGGCCTGATTGATACATCACACTCTGCAGGAACCCAGTCACAGCCAAAGGGGTCTCCCTCCTGTGAATATCTGTTGTACATGTGCATGACAGTGAAATATCCACTGAAGTTCCAATAAGCATCGGTAAAGTTGAGAAAACGCAGCATGGAAATGTTTCAAATATATGACTTGTATTAGCTGCCTGCTACACTGTATCTAGTTGTTTGCTGATACTAGAGGGACATCTATTGCTATTCCAAACCAGATCTCAATTTTATAAGCTGGTTCCTAAAACCATGATGCATTGTTACTTTAGTGAGAGTAGCAGGAAATTCAAGATAACAACATATCCTTCATAAATAAAAGATGACAGGAAATTCCTTCATATGCATTTTGAAAGCTCTCCATTATATACTCCAAGTCCCCTTAACTAAAGCCTCAAATCCTATACCAATCAAAGTTGGTGAGGAAACACCCTGATTGCATGCATTCTACACTAAAATTTGAACAGCTAACTGAAACACATGTCACTTGCCAGCACCTTCTATATTATATGGCAGAAGACATGAGGCCGCTAAGCTTAATAATACAAATCAAGAGGCTCCAACTTAGATGCATGCAGTTGGTTTTATTTAGACATATCAAAATGTCAAATTTAAATATTTAATTTTCTGTTAAAATGAAATCTAACGGTGGAAAAAATTGCACGGAAACTGCAATATTAGCCAATTAAACTTCTTCTACAGGCCACAGCACAAAGACTTTCATTCCACTGAGCGTAAGCAAGATTAAGCAATCATCAGCTGAGAAACAGATAATCAAATGGCAGCACACGCACCACAAGTGCTTAAAAATGAATTGGTTGAAATAAAAGGGAAAGGAAAAATAAAAAGGAATGATCGGGGGCCAAAGGGGAGCACAGACTTGGTTTGTTGCTTCAAAGTAAGCATAATATCAAATGCAGAGTGAGATCAAAACAATAGGACTCACTTTGGATCAGTATCACCAATCTTTGCAGCACTGCAGTTAAAGAGGGACCAGCAAGTATTCCCAGCATAACCACCCTCATCTCCCACCCACCTAGTGTCAGGCCCAGCATCTGAGAAAATGACTGCTCTAGGCTGTAGCTGATGAATAAGACTAAACCAATCTTCAAAGAAATACTCCATATCCTTCTCCCCCTCACCTTTTGCTCCATCTAACCAAACCTCTTCCACCACACCATATCTGCAATTCGGTTACAGTAAACCAAAGTAACAGGGATATTACAAAAAGAGAAAAGAGGAAGGAGTTTAGCTATGGTCTAAATTATAAAGAACCATATCAAGTTCAGATCGAGTTATGCATACTGCAATCCCTATAACTGTAGACATTATCTAAAGGTGCAAATTCCTCTCCGAAATTGTTACACTCCAGTAGACAAAATTCTTCCATAAAATAGTTTGCTTCGTGGCTAATGAGGTTGATAATGATATAACGCAAACGTTTACCCTATGATTTCGCATTAGCTCCTATTTGAGCACAAAATACTTCTAAATAACCAGAATGCCATGTTATGCATAAATGACCCACCCATCTTCCACCGGACTAGCATATTGAAAACGATACCCATTAATCAACCTAAATCACACCAAGAAAAAGATAAAAATTCAACCAGAAAAAGGGAACCAAAGAGGAAAAATAGCTTCAATAATTGTCTAAACATCAGCTGATCAAGTAAAAAAACCAACTTTACAAATCCAGTAATAACCCAAATAACATACCAAAACAGCATTAAAATCACACGCAATATCTCCCGCACAGCAGGCAACAACACCCAGAAGTGGCACAATCCCGGAAAAACGGTAACAAAGAATACAAGTACTCACATAAAGGAAGTGACTTTATACCTTGTGAGGAGCTCAGTCATTTGCCCCATATAATACTCATTATAGTCAAGAGTCTTGCCATAACAAGACTCATGCCTATCCCAAGGAGAAAGATAAAGCCCCAACTTCACTCCAGCAATTCTTGCAGCCTCAGCTAGCTCCCCAACAACATCACCACTCCCATTCTTCCAAGGACTAGACTTAACCGAATAATCAGTATACTCAGAAGGCCAGAGGCAGAACCCATCATGGTGCTTAGCAGTCAGGATAACTTTAGAAAAGCCAAAATCTTTGGCCACTTTGACCCATTGGGTGGCATCTAATTTAGTGGGATTAAAGACTGATGGATCAACATGGCCTGTACCCCATTCTGAGCCCGTAAAAGTGTTGGTTCCAAAGTGCAGGAACAGGGCCATTTCTGTTAGCTGCCATGAGAGCTGCTGTGCACTTGGGATTGGGAGAATTGGGAGTGGGGGCGGCTTTGGGTGCAGGGAAGCTAGTGAAGGTGAGGATTGAAGAAGAGTGAAAATTAGGAGGTGGAGGATGCTAATTTGTTGGGGTTTTGACAAAATGGGGCGCTTGAATTTGAATTTGAGCTTTTGGATTGAAGGTTCATCAGGGTTGGCGCGGGGATTCTTGATCATTTTCCAGGCAAGGAGACCAGTTTCTGGGCAATTAGACCAAGTAGAGGGGGTTGACTGCACTAGATATTAGAAAACAATATATATAAATCTAATTGTTTAATCAAATTTGGCTAAGATCTCGTGTTACTGTAACAGGTGAAACTCCACAACAGACGGTGCAATGTTGAGCTGCTTTATTGATAAACCAAAGGTCCCAAGTTTTAAGGAATCAACCAATTGGTCCAACTCCTGAATATCTTTCTTTGATTGAAGGAGATGGCAACGTAAATTACAATCATACTAGGCATTGGACCCCGCGGCTATCGCGGGGTGCCCATATTATAGTGTTGTAGAGTGATGAGGAATATAAAATAAAGTAGAAAGAATCATAAATAGAGGGTTATTATTTTGTTGAATATTATAGTAGTGATTGTAGATTAAGCAAATATGAGATAGTATATGTAAATGTAGAGCATTTATTTATGAAGAAGATGTTTGTGCAAGAAATAGATTATGAATAGGAAAGCAAAAAGCATGTGTTTTTTTTATATATACATCCTAATTTGAGAGTGCACTTAGGCTAATGTAAGATTTATTTAATAACATAGATTTAGAGTATCTTGTATGATAATAGAGTTGGAATAGTGGATAGAGAAGTGATATATTGGATTGATTTATTTATAAATAGATATAGTAAAATTGATGTGATTTGTATTGTGTTTTTTAAAATTAATACGATCTACAGATTTGATGGATAATATTGGTTTCAAAAACTTTTGTTTTTTTATTTTAATTTAGTGATAAGTAAATATTATTTAAATTAATGGAATATATATTAATTTTTTAAAGTTGATAGGATGGAAAATTAGGTGGAGAATTGCATTGAGAGTGTTATAATTTATTGTACTTTGGGTGTTGGTAGTTTATGTATTCTAGGATGATGATATTTTCATAATTTGGATAGCTATGATGAGTAAGTGTGCATTGTTGCAGTGGAAAAGTCTATGGAAATGATACAAAAGAATGGGAAGTTTGTTGAAAAATAAATGGATAATAGATATTTTTTGGTCAATTTTGATATAGTTTGGGTGTTGTGTGATGAGATAAATTAATAATTTGGAATAATTTGATACTATAGCTTGGTAAAATATGTGTTTATTCATTAAGTAGGTTTTTTTTCTATAAGTAAAGATGATATTGATTTAGTTATGAATGAATGTGATTGAAATAGATGGGAGCTGTATTTTTTTAATTAATAAAATCTAAATAAGTAAAGGATAGTATTAATTTTGAGAGCTAAGAGATTTTATATTAATAGGTTAGTACTAAATGGATATTATTGAAAGTAAGGTGATGCATATAAATTTTTTTTTATAAGAAATAGAAATGATTGCATA